GCGCACGCACGCACCACGGTGGGCGGGGCGAGGGGGGAGAGCGCATGACCTCATCAGCGCGCGCCGAAAGGAGTCCCCGCCCCTTTCTGCCCAGCAGGGGTGACAAAGGCACGGTACTCCTTTCTCCTCCTCCTCTCCTCTGGCGTCCCTCTCCTGTCAAACTGCACACTGGTGATGGGAAGCTTCTCATCGGCGTAGAAATCATCTATGGGGCAGATGGCAAGCTATTTAGCCTCAGCATACTGAAAACCAAAGCCGAGGCCACAACAACATCTGTTATAGAACCCCAATATGCTGATGATAACGTGGTCTCTGCTCATTTGGAAGACCTACAAGCCCACTCCAAACGCTTTCACAGAAGAATACAAAAAGCTTGGCCTCTCACTGAACATTGAGGAAACCAAAGTGCTACACAACCACTGCATAATAAAAAAAGTGAATTATTGTTAAATTCAAGTTATTGGTACCTCGAGCAAAATCACCGCTCCTTTTCTTTCACTGCAGCTCATTTCTTCCATTCTCCACTCAAAACATATGGGAATAATGACTGCTTCCAAAATGCAATTTTTGCTACAGAAAGATTAAGAGTTCAAACCAATAAAAGAACCCCTGTGCTGGACGGGGTTACACTCCCCCTGAAGTCACAGGTCCGCAGTTTGGTTCAACGCTCACGCTTGAGGCTCAGGCGTCGGCGGTGTCTGGGAGGGCTTTCACACAACTGAGACTCGTGCGCCAACTGCGACCGTACCTTGCGAAGGCGGATCTGGCCGGAGTGGTCCATGCCTTGGTCACCTCCAGATTGGACTACTGCAATGCGATCTACGTGGGGCTGCCCTTGAAGACGGCTCGGAAGTTCCAACTGGTCCAACGATCAGCAGCCAGGATGCTAACTGGGGCCCCTTACAGAGAGAGGTCAACCCTCCTGTTTAAGGAACTCCACTGGCTGCCATTTATATTCCGAGCCCAATTTAAGGTGCAGGTGCTTACCTACAAAGCCCTGAACGGTTTGGGACCAACCTACCTGCGTGACCACATCTCCATCTACGAACCCACGCGCTCACTTCGGTCATCTGGAGAGGCCCTGCTCGTGATCCCACCGGCGTCGCAAGCGCGCTTGGTGGGGACGCGGGACAGGGCTTTTTCCGTGGTGGCCCCCCAACTCTGGAACACCCTCCACAAAGATCTTAGACAGGCCCCCTCATTGGCTGTCTTCAGAAAGAACTTGAAAACCTGGCTTTTCCGATGCGCCTTCCCAGATTAGGAAATTTCCACTACCAAGTCCCATAAGCACTTTACCAGGACCAATGATTGTTGCACTCTGCACATCGCACTTGCCCTAGAAGCCCTTTTATACACTTCTTGTCACATCAGCACTTTTAATCTTTGTACCCATTCTTTGGCCCAGCCCAATTTTATTGTGTTTTAGTGTATTGTGCCTGTTGTTTTACTTTGCCTTATTTTGTTTTTAATCGTTTGATTTGCTTAGATTGTATTGTTATGTTTTGTTATTGAGGCCTTGGCCTGTGTAAGCTGCATCGAATCCTGCGGGAGATGCTAGCGGGGTACAAATAAAGTTTAATAATAATAATAATAATAATAATGATTGCCAAAATCCAGTTAAAGGCAGATAATCTGGGACCAAATCCTGGGATATGGGGCAGTGTAGATCATTATTACCTAATTTCTGGTCAAACAGGTTTTGGCACCAATAGATTTGGATAATCCATATTTTAGGCTACTTGCATTTCACAAAAACAAACAAACAAAAAATCACCAACAACAACAACAAAACCCCTCTCTATGTTATGTTTCTAACATGATAATGAAGCAGTATTGGCAATATTCAGAATATAAGAACAAATTTACATTTAGATTTTTTGGCTTCCCCATTACAAATCTAGAGAGGAAACAGATACTATGTGCCTCAAGATGCATTTAACCTGTAGTATTAATGCAGTTTGACACCACTTTTACATTATGGCTGAATACTATAAAATTCTGAGAGTTTGGCAAAGCATTAGCACCCTTATGCAGAGAAGGCTAAAGACCTTGTAAAACTACAACTCTCATGATTCCATAGCACTGGCCCATGGCAAATAAAGTGGTGTCATACTGCATTAATTATACTGTGTAGGTGTACTGTCAGATAAAATTATACTCAGCCAGTGGCTTTTGCTTGACGTGTGATCTGAAAAATTGCTCCACATTTTTCCATGTACATACGCAACAAAACAGACATCTGAATAATTAAATATATCATGCCCTTTGCTTTGAATTTTATACAGTTGTTTTACTATTGTGTTTAGGGCAGTGGTTCTCAACCTGTGAGTCCCCAGATGTTTTGGCCTTCAACTCCCAGAAATCCTAACAGCTGGTAAACTGACTGGGATTTCTGGGAGTTGTAGGTCAAAACACCTGGAGACCCACAGGTTGAGAACAACTGCTTTAGGGGAACAATTTCAGTAGTTATTTAATTATTTGGTTTTGAACAGGGCTACTGTGCTGGTATAGCTGTACCAGGAACTCCAACTTTATTTGCTTTGTATTAAATGTTTGCTTGCAGTTCAAGGTTTCAGGGACTCTGCAGAAGGGTGGCTTCCTTTGGTTGCAGTCATAGGGCAAGTCACCTGTCCATCATCATTAAGTTTTGGTCCCGCCCCTTGCTCAGGGCAATTGGGAAGGGAAGGGAGCCATTTTTAGTTAGTCTCAGCAAGGAAAGCTAATGTACAGGACTGTGTGCAAGCTTCCCCTGTACAAAAGCTTCAACCCTTAAGACTTTCTGGGGGAAAACAGTCTTAAGAGCATCAAGACTTTCCGGGGGGAAACAGTCTTAAGAGTCTCCAAAGATTTCCAGGAAAACAGCCCTAAAGACCAAAGAACTCCAGCTGGAGAATATCTAAGCCTTTACTGGTAGGTCCACTCGGTGCTTCGAGACGCAGTTCGACCCGGTAGCGGAGCCCACATCAGTAAGGGTTAGATTACAGTCAGCCTGGGAGAAGTTAAAAAGGGGACTTTCCTTTAAAGTAAAGAAGAAGTTATTGAAGACAGTTGCCTGCCCTTCGTGGGCAAGATTAGGAAGTCACCAGTTGCATAAAGCTTGGAAGCATTTGTTTAGCTTTATTGAAGACAAGAGAAGTTTCTGTTTGATTGTTCATTAATAAAAGACTTTGTTATACTTCACAAGCCATCTAAAAATCATTTGTGGTGGAAAACCTCTGAGAACTTCTCTTTGGGCCCCCTGGCTTCCCGCTGGGCAAAGGTTGCACGTCCTGTTCTAAAAACAATTATTTACAGGCCCAGCACGCAACAGAACAGCTACAGCCACCCCATTTTTTCCTCTGTCTTTCCAAAAACAGTTGAAAGATTTCTTTTTCCTTTCAAAATATTCAAACATGTAATATTGTGTCAATGTGCTACAAGTGTCTTATGTAACTTACTACAATGTGTTTTATCAAGTTGTATCAAGCTTTGGCTTCATGTAAGCCGCTCCGAGTCCCTTGGGGAGATGGTGGCGGGGTATAAATAAATTATTATTATTATTATTATTATTATTTTTATTATTTGTTTGGTGTATGGCCTAAGGGCTAATCAATAAAATTTATTTATTAATATTGTATAAATGTGTAGTCCTTCCATTCCAGTTTAGAATATGATTTAGTAGCCATGTACATCACAAAATCAATCAAGAGTTCATAGTGTGTTATTCCATGGCTTTAATTGGACCTTGTCTAGTGTGCCGTCGCGCTTGGGGGCTATTAGTCTTAAAAGGAGGATGGACGTGGCATCTTTCCCCCAAGGGATTGCTTCTTGCCCTCCTTTAGGAAACTGGAACTCCCAAGAACCCAAAACGATGTAAATAACTCAAAACAAGTTTTATTTGTCACAAAGTCATTTCTTCAATGCAGTAAACTGGAAAACTTTAGCAGGGTGAAGGAAAAACACACTTTACAGTTTCTATTAGTCCTGGGTCCAAGGGGGTTTGAAGCTGAGAAGCCTCACCAGATTTCCTCTTCCTCAATGGCTGAGTATGCCGGAGCAAAACCACAGCCCCAGTCCAAATGGCCTATTTTGAAGATTTAGGATCTTCCTCTGGTGCCAAAAGAACTGGCTTGAAGGCGCCTGGGTCTCCTCAGTATCGTCCAGGATGATCTGGACATAAAGCATGAGTCCCAGGGGAAAAAACCTCAGAATTGGTGCTAAGAGGTAACTTAACAGGGTCCTTCAAGAATGAAGTCTGTTACTCACGTCCATGTTGCAGGAACTCTCATCGCAGAATGAGAGAAAAAAGGAAGTTCTCCCCTCTTGCAGGAAGAGGTGGAGCCAAACAGTGCTGATTGACAGCTACAAGTAACCAATCCATACAAATATACAGACACATGGCAAAAGGGGCAGGATTAAGCATGATACAACAGTTCAAGTCTTACAACTAACAGTTCTATACATAGGTGGCGCCACTCGCGCCGTCACACTCCCGGCCTAGATTTTCGGACTTTCGAAAATCTAAACAAAAATGAAGTTAAACACCTTTAACTTTTATAACTCTAAGACCGTAGGTCTTGCGAAAATAACATAACCATATCGCTAATAGGCCTGTCAAACAAAGAAACCTTTTATTTGAAATGACCTTAACTTGGGCCTTGCGCACTCTATTGTCAGAGCTAGGATATAATTTAGACACAATACCCTTAGCCCGTTGGTGTCTAGGAGCGTCCTTTTGTTTAAGTTATTTCTTCTCTGATGGTTTGATTCAACTGAGTAGCTAGGAGAGTGGCACAGAGTTCTAATCTGGGCACTGTAGAGTCCATGGGTGCTACTTTAGCCTTTGACATCACAAATCCTGAAGAGCAGGTACTGATGCCTCTTTGTCTGGCATATGCGACTGCAGCGATGGCCTTGGTGGATGCATTGCAGAATATGTGCAGTTCCATGATCTCTGAAGGTGAGGAACTGTTTGCTATGTACTGTCTTGGCAGTTGTATGTTTTCTAAGCCTTGGGCTTG